GGTCACTGGGCATTTTTAAACTAATGATGAGACCATAAGTCTAATACATGTGCTTTATAATCACAGTGAACATGTTGTCATTGCCATAGGTGTAATTCTTTCAAAATCACGTGGCAAACATGACTAAAACATAGCCCTTTTGTGTTTTTTGACTCCAACATAAGAATGCACCATGACAAACCTTGAGCAGGTGAAAGACTATGTAAACAGCTAAGCCATGGTCTGCAGCTAGAAAATCAATACTTCTGATTTTCTGATTCGGCACTATTACAGCTTGCATAGAATAAACATGCAAGATAAATTAGCATAGAATTAGTGAAGCCCAAATATTTCCAGAGAGCAGATTTTGAAAAGAAACATATCCATTACTAATTCCAGCACAGGTAAAGTGAGTTCAGTTTCACATTACAACTGTCTGGGCAGGCTGACATTAATTATCTCGTTTATTTTTATAGACTTAATGCTGCAATAACCCCTATTGGTCAATGCAGTAGACCTTTTTTTTTTTCCAGTCTGTCAGAATACACATTAACTACCTARTGCATCAGTTCACTGGAAGCATTGCCATTATCTGGAGTTAAACTGAGTTAAATTATAAAGATGATCAGAAGCTGCAATAGTTCTTTTTTTAAGGATACATCTCCCAGCCTGGATCACTACATACTATGGCCTCAGAGAGTAGTGATATACTGACCAGAACCTCACTGCAGCTCCACTCACTTGCAAGACGCTATAAATATGAATAGTTTTGCCCACCAGACATTAAGAAACCCATAACAGCTTGACCACTAAATATGTTCTTGACAACAGGGGACAAAAAGGAAACTTAAAATSAGCACCATTTATTGTATTCTTGCTTAAATTGACCTATCACTGATATGACTTAAGGTCCATAATTCAGTGAAAAATTCATTTAAATCATTGTGTGGATAGAAAATATCAACAAAAAGATGGTTGATTAGCAGACAGCTGTAATCAACAATGTGGCAGCAGAAGTCTAATACAAGGCACAGYGCCAGCATGTCTTGTCTTCAGATGGCAATACAGTCACAAAATTAGTTTTACTACTTTTGTGTTTAATCCTCCTCAAGAGTCCATGCTACCCTCCATAACAAAGAACAGAAAAGTATTACACTTTCTTAAGAGAGCTATTTCACCAAGTACAGCCTGCATCCCATGCATCAACAGCTTTCACTCCTCAAATTAGTTTATCACCAGTTAATTTACTCTAGTTCTGTATATAACCTCTTAAAGATGATAGAAAAAAAAGTGGATCTTGGTACTACAAACCTGAGCCTTGGCTTGCCAAGCGTAGAATCTCTTTGGGTGTGACTTGAGGCTTTGTCAGCAGTTGCTGTTCAGTAAATCATTCTGTAGTCAACACATACCCAGACCACGCTACACTCTCTTACCCAGTATATCCTCACTTTAATATGCTCAGTGTTAAGTAATAAAGTTAAGTAATGTTAAGTAATAAATGTACTAGTATCTCTTAAATCCTCCCCCTCCTTGTTGAATTCTGCTCCTTTCTGTATACAGCAGTAATCTAAGGAGAGGGATTCCTGCATCCCTTTCAAAGGACTGAGGGAGACTCAGAATTTTGTTTTAAAATGTAAATGATACAGAAATAATCTGTTTTCCTTCTGGCAGACTGGATCGCTTTTTGTTACAGATAGGTGGTGTGCTTATCTCTAGAATTATGTGGTGCAGGGTAGGTGATATCAAGATCCCAGTTTTAGACTCATCTGGGAAGCAGTTCTGCTTTCGTTAGGCTTTTAGGTAGAAGGTAATTAGCAAAAAACCTAGGCAAAACACCTCCTGTTTTGAGAGGCTTCTTTTCTTTGTCAATTCAGAGCAGCAGCCCTTCAGAGAAGACTGTGCCTTTACTGGGAAAGCAGCACGACAAYCACCAAACTAATCGTGTGGCTCAGCAGAGCGTGGAGAAGCTCCCTAATGTTGAGAGAAACTTCCCACAAAGAAAAGGATTCTCTGGGCAGAAGCCTTTGTCTTCTCTGAAACCTAGAGCCTTTCCTCTATTTCCCTCTCACACACCTAGTGTTTTATCTCCTGTATCTCCTGTGTGTACTAAAATTTTCACACATTCAGAACTGAACATTCACATGTGTGCTGAGAAAATCAACATACCAAAGACAGATCAGGAACTTCTCCCCTTCAAAACCATGAATTCTTTTTTCCTTCTCATTTTGCTCTGTAGTTTATATTTTAGTCTCTGGATTTTTTTAACTCTTTGGAGTGGGAAACATGAATTAAAAATCAGCCTGTGACCCACTACTGTTTTATAATCCTCCTCTTGGTGAGCAGAAAGTAATAGTTTGATGGGGTCATACTTAAATTTTCATGTAAGAATGTGATAGAGTGAAATATTATGGCCTGGACAAGGGAAAATAAGGCAAGGTGGTTTTGAATAGACCTGTCCAAAATTATCACCAGAAGAGCATATTACTGAATATGTATGTGTTGAACTGATTTTATTTAAGATCAAAATAACATTTATTTTAAAGGAAATAAAACTTTTAAATACTGACCATAATATTTTTAGATTCAGCAGCCACACACAGGAACAGTGGGACCAAAAGCGTCACCATGTCTGTGCTGAAATTCAGAAAGCAGAGTTATGTAAATGGGAAGAATTTTGTTTAAAAGAAGCTAGAAAGAATGCCTCAGAGATTTAAATCGCCGTAGTCTACATAAAGACTGCTGAAAGATACTATAGTGAGAGCACAGCATCAGTGTATATTGCCTGCTGGAAATACTTTGAGAATTGGTAAAGAGAAATCAGCATGGCTAAGCAGCAAAGCAAAGGAAGTAGAATTAAATTAAGAAGGCATCATTAAAAGTGATGAAATGCATCCTCATGAAGAAAATAAAAAGATAAAAATTCTGAAAGACTATACATAAAACTGTAAACTAGCATTTGAATTGTAGACAAASTRGTAAAAAGTAAAGGTGTTCATTGTCTCGCYAAGTAATTTGGCCTATGACACCAAAACATGAATTGATGGCTTGATTCACTGTTTGTTTCTGTCATACAGTACAGACCACATACAGGACAAAAATTGATCAATTTCTAAAAAGCTTTTCAAAGAAATGGAAGCTGTACAAGTCTTTCTTCAGAGAGAATGCCATTAATACATGATAAATCATAACCATCTTATTTTTCAACTGAACATTAGAGTCTCTTGAAGCATTAAACTAGCTCAGCAGTGGCAACCTGACTCCCAGATGAAGCATAGTCAAATTTACCACACTTTCAGGTGCAGAATTTTCAAATTCACAAACTTTACAAATCTATGCAAGTAGACCCTGTCCAGTTATTTCCACATTTTGTTCCAGGATTATGCCTCCAACTTTGCCTCTCTATGGCTATATCCATATCTTTGCAACTAAGAAATGGATAAACATAACAAACAATTTTTCCACAAATAAATGTGTAAATAAATAAATGTTGTTTTTAAAGGAAGTGCCTAAGTGTTTATATCTCAATACCAGTGTGAACTAGTTCTGTTGGGAGTTCAGTAAATAAAATCCAGAATGGTTTGCACAAATGTTCTGTGAAACCAAATATGAGAACAATGAGAAATATTTTTCCACAGAATCACCACCACATTGCTAGCATTAGGACAGACCAATCAGCTAATTTACCTCTGAATTGCTCATGAAAATGGTTAGGAAGGTGATTCATTTTCCATACTCTTAAGCAGTTTCTGCAGGTTAAATTTCAGTGTAAGTACTTGTAGTATCAGCGTTCACTTGTAATTGAGTCACTAGTCATCTTCTCAGGTGAGAGGGATTTTGCAGGCATTTCACTTAACAACTCTGAATAATGAGTAGAGAACAATCAAGATCATAAAAATATTCATGAAAAAGGCACACTAAAACACCAAAGAAATCATTTACTGCCATTTATTTCATTCAAATCCCCTTTGTCTGTTTCTTTCCCTCAGCCCTTTCTATAACCATATTYGTTTTCTCTACCAATGTCTACAGGGTTTTCACAGAATCACAGAATGGTTAGGGTTGGAAGGGACCTCTAGAGACCCTCTAGTCCAACCTCCCTGCTCTTGTTATGCCTACACACACCTCTGCTTCGCCTTGGTGACTTGAGATTTCCAACATTCTGTTTCTTGTGCATTGTGTTTCATCRCTATTATAAAAAGCCCAAGTCCTTTAAGACTAAAAGCAGAAAATAGATTTATTTCGCCAGATAAAATTGTGAAGGTTAGTATTTTGCTTGCTCAAATAGAGTCCTGCCTTTCAGGAAACATTTTGAGGAGTTATGTTTCCTTTGTGTGGTGCTTTTCTGCAGTGACAGCAGGCAGTGGTTTAATGGCAATTTAAAACTCTAGCATTACAGTACACAACAAACAGTACAAAAGTGTTTTGGACAGCCACTCCTCTTTCAGAAAAAACAGATGACATTCCTAGTTTTCTCACTCAATTGTAGCAACCCGTTATTCCTGTTACTTTGACAATTATTCAAGACCATAAAGCAGATTCACTTAACCTTCTGTTTTTTAAAAAAATCAACAAACATTTTGGATATTAATTTCTAAATATATACGGTTAAAATACACTTCCCAAAACAAATATATTCATATTTTCATTTGATTTACTAGATCTATTAAATATTTGCATTATTGCTTTTAAGTTACTCTGTAATATACGTATATTAAACCCTACAATATACTAAGAAGAAAACTTAAAATTACCATTAATCTTTTAATTTTGCACTTTTACTAACTTCCTAGGACAATTGTATCTTCTTTAGCTCTAAGACCTTAAAACATCATTAGTTCTGTCTTCTTGTTAATTTGTTTTCTTTTATTCTATTATTAGCCATTAGGCAAGTCAAAGATAAATTGTATAATCTAATTCTGTTAATGGAGCTAAAACCAGTTATGGGTAATCTAAAAATAAGTATACAACCTCTAACCCCAACAACAACCACAGACAGTAAAAAGACTACCGCAAAATACATCTCAGAAAACCGTTAGAAGTGCAAAAAGTCCATAAAGTAAAGCACATGGGTATGCAATAAGAAGCTGCTGTCCTTCCATAGCCAATGCAGAGGTAAAGATTTTGGAGGCTGACAGACTGCACCATCCAACAACAAGCAGAGCTAACAAYGTTCCCAGTGTTCCCCTAGGAGAAAAACAAAACAACAACAACAAAAAAAGAGAATCCACTTGTTAGTCCATGCAGCATCAAATCTGGTCAGATTCTAGCTCATTTCTAGCAATTTGTTCCAGGTAAGATGCACCACTGGCAGAGCTGAGGACTGGCTTACATAATGAAAGTCTAGTTTGAGAAACAMATAATAATAGTGGCAAATAAAAAATACATTTTTTTCAGTATGAATGAAAACAGCAGCTTAGTTATACTGCCAAAAGGACCAGTGTATTTCCAACTAAATCTTCTGGGGATGCAGCAGACACATCATTTACAGATTTTTTTAAGATRGCAAAGATCCTACTGCAGACATCAATCAGCATGGAGAAGTTACTAGTATTTGGAATGACACTGCAGACCTAAACTTAGATCAGGCAGCCCGATGACCTGCAGTAGGTAATGCAGTTTTGCAATGCAGCAAAGCTTTCATGYGGTCTTGAGCTCTGAGAGAGGCAACACATCTCTTCAAGAATTACACCTCTGCTCCTCATGCTAAAAGTTGCTGGCTACCTCCCAGGAGGATGCTCACTTTGGTCTTTAAAAAGATGTACAAATCAAGTGGAAACTAAAGGGCTGAAAAAGAATCACTATTGAGCACATTTTCCAAGTACTATTTTCCCTCATGGTGGTATCCTTCTCTGCATAATAGAAGACAGAGGGCTTTCCACATGGCCTCTCTGCGACAGCTGTCTTGCAGTTACAGCTGTCTTCAGAGACAGTTCTCTTCAAGTTAGATTTACCAGTTCTCATGTGYAGGGTGACCTGGAGAACTGATGTTTACGGGACTATCCTCAAAAGCTCACTGAAAAATTCCTGCAGATTATAAGGAGCTCACTACTTAGCCCTGTGGGACAGGATCTTGCCAATAAATAATGTTTCACATACGCTTTATTTGCAATCTGTATTTTCAGTCTGCTTCTGTAAAATTCATGAGATCATGCACATAATAGGCTGCTGAAGTATGTAATGAGCTCAGCTAAGTTACGCACTTCCCCTATGTCAACCTCAAGGACTTTCAAGACGAAAGAACCTCTGCCACTTGCTAAATGACTTTCTGGCACTCCATTCTTACAAAGTATCAGCGAAACAGAATCAGAAGTGAGAAACAGACTATATATATTTACTTAGGTTCATCTAGTAGAAATAATCTCCACTACTTTTGTTATTGAAAGGAAAGCATTATAAGTAAAGCTCTCATTTAATTTATTTGGTTTAGTTAATGCAATCACAGCACATAAAATCRTATTTTACTTCTTGGCAATGCAGTCTCCAGAGCTATAAGCTATTTTGTGTCCCGAAGTCTTGGGACTTTTGGAAAAGGATGGAGACATTGGATTTTAAGGTGACTCCACTCCTCATTGCAACTTCAACCTAAGAAACATAAAGATCATGTGGTTTTATGTCCTTAGCCTAAGTGTTCCTTGAACCTACACAATGACATTCAGCGATATTAAACAAGGCTCTGCAGACCAAATTCCTGGACTCTGCTACAAGTGGGGCTGCTAAAATGCTCACTTGAACAGCTAGCCAGAAATAGGCATTGATGGCTCTTGGAGCAGATATTCATGCTGGCAGAGGGATAGGATGTGCAGGAACATATTGTGTGATGACAATTTTCAGCTAGTATGATGACTCTTTAGGCGACTATTACAAGGTAGAGTTGCGGCTGCTCTCCTTTGCACTGGGGGCTCAATGGCCTCTCCAGGTTGGCTCCAGGACTAGTTAGCATGAAAAGGTGACATAAAATCATATTGGAGCCAAGAGATACTTGCATTTTAAAACATGGTCCTCAATCTAATAGCACACTACTGACAAAACAAACAAACAAAAAGGTTTAGCATCAGTGATTCTGCCAGGAAGTTCATAAGGTCCAAATCCTTTAGCATGGCAGAGGGCCAAAAGGCAGATGTCACACTCACAGTGACCAGGGGACTGAAGGTCTACTGACACAAAGAATTAGTTGGGAGGATGGACCTCTCTACTTATCTCTGTCATAACTTATACATGGGCCACCAATCTGGTTCTTTGCATCAACTGCATCTGAGAATTCTCTTACACTCATTTTTCCTTTGCTATTTAGTCAAGTTATGCAATGGCCACTAAATTCTGGTATTTAATAGTAAAGAGTAAAAAAAAAAAAGTGTCCTGATTTTTTTTCTTCTCCTAGAGAAGGGATCTAAACAACTTATGATCAGACATCACACCATCACACCATAAACAAAGCTTTGAGACAATCTGGTTTCATAAAAGTTTGAATAAGAAAATTAGTCTTCTCTTTTGCATCATTCAACACCCAATATGCTACGTATTTTGCTTCATTCAGTTACATTGAAATAATCATGCAAATCATAAAAATACGAAACTATCCATTAATAGTCTGTAAACATTAATAAAACTTTAAAAACTTGTTTTCAATTAGATTATCATCTATTTTTGCAATACATGTATGCCTTATCTTAGGTATGCTTTCTGAGAAAACAAATATTAAAATTAGTCAAGTCTTAACAATTTGCAATTGACAAAAATAATATTTTTAAAAGACATGAGAAAAAAATCTAAGTATGATGCTATCTTTCCTTTGTCATTTTATATAATTTGCAAAATTATAAGTAATTAAAAATATATTGATTTTAAAGTTAACATATTTTAAATAGCATGTCCTTAACAAAAAGCCTTGATACTTTCTGTGTTCAAGCCTATGGTGAATAGACAAGAGAATCCCATAGACAGTCACTTAACGCTACCAATTCATTTTAGACATAATAGTTAATTTGTTAAAATCTATTTCTGTATAGTATTTATAGATTTTTTTAAAAAACATGTGCTTTCCGTAAGTTCACAGTGTATTACAAATGTACTGTGCATGCTTGGGGATTTCCTGATACAGAAAACAGCACCCTGCACAGTTGTAACAGCTGGTTTGGAGATAGTCCCATCTGTCCTACAATTACATATCTGCACCTTCTATATGAGCGGATTACTAAACAAGTTAATCAAGCCAGCATGGGTAGCACTGAAGAACACATAGTCAATGGCTTTTTCAGTGTCACTACTTTCCTTTGTCAGCAATAGCTCAGAAAAACTTGAATACATGAAATATGGTGAAGCTGACCTGTCACAGATCCACGGAAACACACAACAAAGATTGCACTAAAATCTCAATCCCACCATATTCATTTTTAAAAATCCAATAACTGCATATTTACAATTGCTGCTTTTCCAGGGAAAATGACCAGGGACATTTTCTTAACTGGGGCAGCTCCTTAACAAGCAGAGGTAGCTGCTACATCCCATACTTTACAAACTGAAGTGTTAAATTAGAAATAAATTAGTATATTTATGATGTACACAAGTACTTCTCAAAGCCTTCAGGCAAGACCTAGTGCTTCGTTGTACTTTGCAAGTACATGAAAAGGGAGGTAGATCCAGTCCTTATCTCCAAAAGTTAAGGAGGAAGGAGATGCTGGCATACAAGTTTCCTACATATAGATTTATTACTATATACCTCTCCACCTCCTGAAATGGGTATATTTGTTTTTTCAAAGTTTTTTAAGTTGYTTTCAGGTCTACCACTACACCTAACATAGAATATGACCCCAACTCTTAAAGTCTTGTTCTAGTGGTCCAAGTCATTAATGGTGGGCAGATTATTCCTAATATCACACAGAAATGGGTCTACAAAAGGAAAGGAAATCTAAGGATGGGAGCCAGGTGTTATAAACAGGATAAAACCATCTATGCAAGATCAAACCTCAGGAGTGGCTCTCAAAACTGACAGCTAAGTTTGGCCACTGTTGGTTCGACAACACAAAAGGCACATTTCCAGCTTCTGTAAATATCAAAGCGACCCTCAATCCAAATGAGAAACACTGGATTTAAGTACTCATATTACAACGAACACACACTTACCCCTTGAACACAGACCACTTCTGACTCTTCGGTTTGTCCACTTCTACATGGAAACACTAACAGAAAAGTGTCCTTTTTCACTATTTTGGAAGCTGAAATTCACTACATTTTCTCATATATGAAATGCTTTGCATAGCACCAGCCTGCCTGCATATTGTCCTTCTTACGAATTCTGTTGCCATACCCTGGTACTTACTGTAATGAGAAGACGACGGCAGAGCCAGACAGGATCACTATGGGCAGCAGGCAGTAGCCCAGAACACTTGCAACGCAACCGTGTGAGACTCCTGTGATGCTCATCAGGTTGAGGAGCGTGTACATGGCAAGGCATCCAATGGCACTCATGCCATACACGTAGCTAAAGTGAACTTTTCCTGCCTGGAATAAATATGAGTAAAAAAAGCAACAAATCATTGCATGGTAGGAGAAGACAGAAGACAAAATTTAGGTCTCTTTCACACACATTTTCTCTTCACTTTAGGTATATTGGTTCAAATGTGAACCCCAGTTGGTACATTAGGGTGTTTTTTACATCAAAATAGTCCAACAAAAAGCTGTAAGAATGTGTATGTGCTAAATTTAGAATTATAAGGCTGATTCTAAGTCTTCATGTAATTGGTCTCTGAAATAGGACATGAGGTGGTTAAGGAGACTTGGGAAGGGGTTAGAAAATTGAGGAGAAATTTTGAACATGGAAAACACATTTCAGTAAAAGGAAAATCTTTCCGATTTGCATAAACATGGCTGAACATAAATGCCATGAACATGAGAAAAATTACGAGCCAAATTGACAGCCTTCACACTTGCTACAAACCACCAGCTTTAAGTAGACCTAGAAAAAAATAGAAAACTATTGATGGACTTATGTTGGTTCTCAGAGTGAATGTGTCCATTCCTCCCCTTGTTTATCATGTGAAAGGGATTGGGTTGTTCCTCAACCCTAGCTCAGTGTATGGAGTGCTGCTACTGACACATCTTTGTGTTGGATCAATGCAGCATACTCATTTCTCCATAACCCAGTCATTATCAGCTTATGTGATTTTTGCTTTGATGAACAAAAGGTTCTTGAAATATTTTTAATTCTTGATTTTACTCCTTTGTGTGAATGTAGTGCCCATGAAAGTTAACAGCCTGAAGACTGATGTTTTCTAATTTATACAAAAAGCTCATAAAATAGGCAACAGTGGCCATATTGCTACCAATTTCTTCATGCTCCTGCCATCCTTTTTAGAACAATTACCTACAGACATGAAGGCATTGCTCATTCCTCCAAGTGAACACACTCCTCACAAAAGATTATTAAATCTTTTTTTTCTCTCTCTTTTTAAGCTTCTAGCAAATGAAATACTGAATGCCAGTTCTGCAATATTGTGATGCGACATCCAAACATCAGGAATAAACAGTGATCTGAGATGAAGATGGTTTCATCTGTGGGCCCTGCTTCTTTGCCTCCTCATCCCCACATCCATTCAGGTCGAAACACATCACTGAATGCAGACAGTATTTGAGCAGGACAGATAAAAAGCAAGGCAGTGGAGAGATCCTAACCTAGTGCTGACACAAGCTGAATGCCTTGATTGTGCAGATTGGTGCCAGCTCAACTCACCAGCTGCAGCCTGACAGCAATGCATGTTTATGTGAAGGACTGTCCGAGTTAATAAGACCTGCCTCCTTTTACAGTAGAATCATAGAATCATAGAATGCCGAAGGTTGGAAGGGACCTCAGAGGTCATTGAGTCCAACTCCCCTGATCACGCAGGGTCACCTAGAGCACGTGGCACAGGGCTGCATCCAAGCGGGTTTTAAAGATCTCCAAAGAAGGAGACTCCACAGCCTCTCTGGGCAGCCTGTTCCAGTGCTTTGTCACCC